GCCACGTATTCTGAGCTGTAGGACTTTTCATTATGGTGCTCTCTCATCCTGCTGGGTAGGCCAGTTCTTCAGGAGACAGCATGAAAGATGGAACCAACCATCTCAGTCATTCCAGAATCCAGTTCCAGTCCAACCTGGTTTTGCAACCAGATTCTGCCTTCTGTGAGATTCTGGGCTTCTTACCTGTACTTTCTGAACATCTGATTCCACAATTGGTGGCATAGTGAATAAGGCATTTGGCTGCTAACCAGAAGGTTAGCACTTCAAACCCACCAGCTGCTTCACAGAAGGAAGATGGGGTGATCTACTTTCATGAATATTTACAGCATCAGAAACCCAATGGAGGTCGCTATGAATTGGAATCGACCCGATGGCAGTGAGTTTTAATATCCACCTCACAGAGCTGGTGAAGAATTAAATCCAATGCCACAGCAGATAGTGAATGAGAATTCTTGGTTATCAATACTCACATGGGCAGATAACCTTCCTGTCCCAGACCTATATAGTATGTGCCTGGGCATTCTCCTCTGTGTTGTTAATACTCTCTTGGATTTTTGTCAAAATCTGCCTCTTTGGGAAAGCAATCTTTGACACTAAATACCATACTAAATTAATACAGGCCAACATGTACTAAAAGCTTTCCAAGTTCAAGATGTAACTTCAAAAGCTTTGTATGGATTCTTTATCACAATAGTATCTTTTACAGGATCTTACATAAAGACCTATAAAATCCCATCTTGCACATGAATAAACTGAGGCAGAAAGAAGTAATCTGTCCAGATTATGTAGTTAAGAAATGGTAATCATTTCATTAGTAAGCTTAAAATTATCAAGCTATCTGCTAAATTTGGACCATAATTCATGTCCACAGTAATACAGGGCCACACAACTCAAGTGATTCTCAAGTGGGGCAACTTTTGGTAATGTCTGCAGACATTTTTGGTTGTCACAGCTGTGAGGTGAGTTCTACTGGTATCTAGGATAGAGGCCAAGGATGCTGTTAAACATCCTGCATGCAACTCATAGGACAGCTTCCCACAACAAAGAGTCATCTGACCCAAGATGTCAACAGCATCGAAGTTGACAAGCCCTGATGCAGGCACTTACCTCAGCATGTTAACTATTTAGAACTCAGCTGATAATTCAGAAGAAGCCACAAAATCTCCGAGATTCTAAGATAGTTAGCTCAAGGCTCAGGGAAGAAATTTCGTAATATACTCCGTCACAAAGAACCCTTTAAGCAATGACATGGAGTCAACTTCCTAAGGCACATTCATTGGGACGTAGATAAGGCGTGTTTTGAAGCACCAAAAGGGATGAGGTGCCTGGGGCAGAGAGGGCTAGAGAAGAAGCATGACACATGACAATAGCCAGTAGCCTTCTAGGATAAGGAATGAAGAAAGTATTAGATCCAGCTATAAGGGGCAGTGTGATTCAATAGCAGAATCCCTGCCTTCCACGTAGGAGATCTGGGTTTAGTTCCCTGGACAATGCACCTCATATACAGTCATTATCTACTCATCTGTCATTGAGGTTTGTGAATTTCTATGATGCTGGACAGGTTTCAGTGGAGCTTTCAAACTAAGATGGACTAGGAACAAAAGCCTGGTGGTCTACGTCTGGAAATTAGCCAGTGAAGCTATATGGATCACAGTGGTCTGATCCAGAACCAACTGGAAAGAGGATTGTTGTTGTTTATGTGCCGTCGAGTTGGACCCAACCCATAGCGACTCCTCCTTTGGTTTCCAAGGCTGTATCACCATGGAAGTAGATTGCGCCATCTTCCTTCTGAGGAGTGGCTGGTGGGTTTGAACTGCCAGCCTTCTGGTTAGCAGTCAAGTGCCTTAGGCACTATGCTACCAGAGGGAGCATTTTATTTTGTCATGTATGGATCAGAGGCTGACTTCACCATGGCTAGCAACAACAACATAAGCTTTTTGCAGCAGCCCTGGCCATACTAATTTCTAGAAGAAGCAACCATGGAGACAGAGGCAGCTCCTATAACCATGGAGAGAGGCTAAGATGGCAGCCCAGAGGAGCCCCCATGGTCATGCAGAGAGACTCCATGTCAGGACACATGGATAAAGGGTAGTGCACCAACATCTGCTTCAACTCCTATTATTGCACATCTATGATTGCTTTAATTTTTGTTTGCTTTTTAAAGAGATCTGAGACTGTCAGCTGAAGAAATAAATATGAATATTCCATGAATAGGAACAATGAGGCAGGAAGCTGGCCTGAGTATTCTTTGCTTTATTCAATCTAATAAACATTTTATTTATATAAAAGACAAACACTGCATAGAACGAAAATAAGTGCTTGAGACATTTGATATAAAAAGAATATATAGCATTCACATTCCTATTTTAATACATGAAGTGTTTCATAAAAGAGTAAAACTTTCCCTTTATGTGTAGTAGTAAAAGAAAAAAGTCAGTATTTTTAGGAACTACAGAATGTTATTCCTTGGTCTTTTACCTTGAATGAGGAAAAAAAAAACCATAAACAAAACAGGCCACAGTATCATCTGACACTACATTCCAGTTTATGCCGACGATGACTCAGAAGTGACAAAGCTCTTTGGAATCCTGGAAGAGCCCATCAGTGGACAGTATTCTAGAAATCCACCACTAGAGGTCAATGAGCAACAGCTATTGGGACGGCATCAGGGAGCCCTAAGGTGCAGGGGAACTTTCAACGCTTCCAAGGTCTTGCAGCCAAATTGCCTTTACCTTTTGCAGCTTACCCCACTGAACAGGGTGCCTAGAAGTCACACCTAACGCCAACTTCAAGATGTTTCCTGAAACCTCAATGAGGCAAAGCCTTCCCCAAATGCAAACAGTTGTGCTTATCTGCTCATTGCCAGTCCCTCTGTCATGTTCCTATTTGCCTGAAAATAAGTAGCTGCAAAAAATTTTAAAAAAAACAATTGTTAACAATTGTTTATGGGTTAGCATGTTTCCTATGGAGTATTAAAGCTCATTCTTTCTTCTTGTCCATGTGGACAACTATTCCCCCACTACAAAGGGAACTCTTATCTCCCACATTCAAGTCCTCGCTAGCAAACTCTGCAAAGGTTGGGAAGGATGGAATCATGGAGAGACTGGTAATCATGACAAAAGCTTCTTGGAGTAAAGAGCAATTACAAAATTTTTCTAAACAAAAGAGACTTGGATTAACCAGGACCACACAGAGAAGGACCCCTTTCCTCTAATAAAAGGCTACTTCAAGTCTTAAACTCAGATTAGAATAGAGGGAGGAAGTCAGCATCATCTTATATAGCCAAAGACTGCTTGAATGCACATTTCTTGTAAGGGATCTTGGTGGTGGTGGTGGTGGTTGTTATGTGCCATCAAGTCGGACCCGACTCATAGCGACCCCTCCTTGGGTTTCCGAGGCAGTATCACTACGGAGGTAGATTGCCCCAACCTTCCTTCTGAGGAGTGGCTGGTGGGTTTGAAC